CATGTGTTGATATTGTGGCAGGCGTACCATTTACTACGTGTTAGCATGCTAATATTAGCTTATTTTAACCGATTTTAAGAGAGACACATAATCTAAAGACCATGTATTTCTGTGAGCCATTTTTTCAATAATCTATCCAGTAAGTGAAAACACAGACTGCAGGTGACACTAGAGAAGAACCAGCAGAGTCTGTGGGTGTGTCCTCTGGACATCAACACATTTCACCACAAACCACTTTCCTGTCCTGGTTTCCTGTCTCATCAGCAGAAACTCTGGATGGACCGACTTGTGTTCTGTCTCTCTGTATCTTATTATCATACTGGAGATGTGTTTGAGTGGAACGGTAGGAAATGCAGAGTAAAATTCATCAAAGCTCCTTTGTATGAGAAGAAATGGTGCCGTTCCAAGCTGTGGTATCTGAGAGGGATCAGGACCCAGAGCTCCGTCTGCCGTGGAGCTAATGTAAGAGTTGCTGCGAGGTCTCCATTGAAGCTATCAGCGCCGAGGATCTGCAGGCTGCTGTCGGATCTGAAGCAGCTGCTGGAGCTGCTGTTTGCTCTCCAGCATGAGGGAGGAGCAAAAACATCACCGGCTCAGGTTTTTTTTATTAGTGCTGATGTGGCCATGATCAGTTAAAAGTCCAGGTCCTGTGTTTTAGAAAATGTGTGATTTTACATTGGGTAGCTGCAGGAGTTTAAGTTGTTACTGGCAGTGTTGGACTCTGTGGTGTAAGAATTTAATTGGAAATGACTCTTGCATGTGTCGGACACGATGCAGAAGATAACAGATATTTGCAAAGTGGAAGATGGTTGTAGTTTTCTTTGGTCTTCTTCATTTTCCCCTCATTCTTCTATTGATTCTCTCCAGGAACATTCACTCCTCTTCCAGGTGACATTAAAGAACAAATACTAATTATACAATGTGGGCACTGAGAACAGTTTCAATCTGTGTTTAGGATTATTTTAAGAAGTTTTTCTAAAAACAAACAAACAAAAAAAGCCATTTCTTGTGACATTTGCCTCATTAGTGTTAATGGAAAACTTTAAATGTACTCATAAACCTATTTGAACTCTGTGATCAATACTGATTGGATAATAGAATAAACTGTTAGGTTTCTATATCAGGTAGCAGGTGTCCCAGAAAAAATGTTAACAAGCAACAATAACAATGAAAAAAAAGGTTGAAATAAATGTAAATATCTGTAAAATAATGGACGTTTTCTGTGATTAGAAACAACTGAACAGTGTGATTGTGTTGTTAAACAAACAAGTTTTGTTGTTTTATTGAGTCATTATTACGGTTTTGATCTGTTTTTAGGGTTAACATATAATAATTTAGATATTCATACATATTGTGGAAATAAACAAGAATAAATCACACAGAAATAATATTTCTGTTTTTATACTGAATACAGAAACATGTTTGACTGACTTTCCATCAGTGTTCACAGAAAACTTACATTTCCTCATCACCATATTTTAACTGTGATCAACACCAAATATACAATAAATAAATGTATCAGAAAAAATATAGAAGGAATCCTGTGAAAGAGGAAGCTGTAACTTTGAGTTTCTTTATAATAATTATATTTTTAGCTGATTTAAAAACAACAACACGAACAGTTTAATTTTTATAGAATAAACAAATACTGTTGTTTTGGGTCATTATTTACAGTTTTGGTCATTTTTTGGGCTGAACATTGTAAATGAAATTTGGATATTCTTATGTCAAGATAAATAAAAAAATCTTTAACATACATTTTACACTAAAAATACATTTCTTGTGACATTTGCCTCTTCACTGTTCAATTTCTTCGTCAGCCTATTTTTACTATGTGATCAATACAAGTGAAATCCTTTGGATAAAGATTTTAACTTTCAATTTAAGCCAAATTACTGAAAGAGAAAAATCCTCCAACTTTAATGCTGCTGTGAAAATCCAGCCACTGCTGAGCATCAGACACGGAGAAGCAGCTAAAGACAACTGCTAGTTTCCAGAATTGCGTCTATTTAGAAAGTGAATGATTTGCACAGTTTTGCAGACGATCTGTTTCCTCGTCAGTCAGCCGGTGACAGCGTTGCAGCCTGCAGGTGTCTGGAGGCGTCGCTTCCCGACTTTGAATCCAGCAGAGGAGACCGAGGCGAGGTCAGATGATTCCACGGCAGACAGGAAACAATTAGCTGGAGTTTGGATGTCGAGCTTTAATCATCCCAGCACACAGACAGCGAACACAGTCTCTCCCCGTCCCGCCGGCTCCGTGCCTTCATCAACGCCGTTTTAATTGACTGCTTCATGAGTTGTTCCTTCAGTATTTTGCCATTTTTGATATCATGATATGAATATATCATGAATGATATCACAAAGCTTGGAGCAATGGCACATGGAAGTGTAATGCCTCAAACAGCCTGTTGCCAATAGGTGGCGCTATGACTGTGAATGGATTTTGGCATATGGATGTGATCAGGACAGCAGTCTGATCAAATATGTAAAGTCTGAGGCAGAGTGGAGCATGTACAGGGTAGTTACACAGTACTTCCTGTTTCATGGCGAAGGATCAAACATCAGAGGGCGCCGTGGCCACGCCCTTTGACCTCTGCAGGTGATTTTAATATAATTTAACCTTCAAGGTGTTTTCTACCTGCTCCCCACATTTCAGCACTCTGTGACTTACCCCCTAGGAGGAGTCAGCTCAGGTTGGACAGACGAAAAATCCAAAATGGCGGACTTCCTGTTGGGTTTAGGGTGTGGCTGTCACTGACTTTTTTCTTCGTCCTGACCTCCTCCATGTACCTACCAAGTTGCGTCGGTCTGGGTCAAACGTGCTTCCGATGGGAGTCTGTTGAAATTTTCAAGGTGGCGCTGTGGAGCCATGTTGGCGGTGAGATGTCCACGTCCGTGATAGTTTCCGATCTCCGCCTGATGTACTGATCTCTGGGAGTTTTTCAGCATGTCTAGGCCTCAAAAACGCGTTCAGAGATGCCGTACTGTGGGCCACCACTATGGCTGACCCGGTGGAGCTGGCGACCCGTGTGCAGGAGCTACAGGCCCCAATGCAGCGCCCATGGGATCGAATCCCGCTCATGGCCCTTTGCTGCAGGTCCTTCCCCCACGTTCCTGTGTCTGTCTTCACTTCCTTTATCAAAAAAGGCCAAAAAAATAACTTAAAAAAAGATTCCGTACCATAATAATAATAATAATCATCATCACAAGACTTCAGTGGGTCCTTGCTGAGGTGCTCGGACCCTAAAAGTAGTTTTTGCTAAAGATGTTTTCTGTAATTCAGCAAAATAGAGAAAATCTGCAGAACAGTCAGTTGTTCAACTAATTACTGTGACTTCACAGATTTTACTTGTTTTTTCTTTTAAAAAACTGTTAAGACAAATATTTTTTGCAGTGTACGTTTATATAGTTTTTTATTTTGTATTTTTTGCTAAATGCATGAATGAAAACACAGTTACATAGATTCTTTATCCTGTAGCTGTTCTAATGAGGTCGATGGGGAGGGTTTTGGTAAATCTGCTCCTGTTCATTAAGCATCAAACACGTCGTGCTGCACTTTTCCTGTTAACATCATTTACAAAGTGTCGTTTGCCACGTCGATTAAAAAGAGGAAAAAAGAAGAAAGCAAAGGAGATGCATGTGCTGTTGAACATTCACCTTCACATTTACACGTTAGTACGAGTCAGAGCTGCAGCTTCAGAGCTGAAAGTAAACTTGTGAGTTAGTAAATGTTCAAATCCACCGTGTAGGAGAGCTGCATTACATTTCACACACTTCAAGTGTTTCTGCTTGAACAACTGATCAGGATTAAGTGATTTTCTGCATTTTTCAGTCGAGGACGTTCACATCTGCCGACACAACGTTCTCAGTGTTTGTTACCACCAAAGTCTTTTCACTCATTGCTGCCTGGACTTTGTCACTTTGACACTGTTGAGCTTTAACTAGGAGTGAAGATGAACCTTCCTCAGCTCTTCATGTTCACCTCACACCTGTCTGACCTCCTCTGGGAGCTCCGGTGGCTACGCTGCTACTGTCAGATGCTCAGATTTCTATCAGATGCTCAGATTTCTCTCGGTGATGTTGATCTTTCGTCTGTTCCTCGAGCTGCACATCCTCTGCTCGCTTTCCTTCATGAAATCCAGATTGAAACTAATTTTAGGCTCGTTCTGGCTCCATCAATCTTTGCTTTGTCACATTTTTTATTTCAAGCGATTTGATTTTCAAAGAATTGAATTTTCTCAGACTTTTGCTTGAATCATTCAGGTCAAAGCAGATTCAGAACTTCAGCTGCATGAATGAGAAGAAAGCTACTGAGGCTAACATGTCACAACGCTGCTGCATGGAAGTCAAAGCTTCATGACATTAGCAGCTGAAGTTCAGGTTCATCTTTATTATCCCACCACATTAATTCATTCTTCACATATTAACAGGTTAAAAGAGACAAACAGCAGCAACAATCAGTGTCAAACACAAATGTGTGGATATAGAGGATATGAATAGTATGAAGGATGAAAGAGACGTGGATTAGCATTAATCAATCAATCAATGATAAATCCATTAGTTTGCAAAGATTACTTTTAACACCTGATTGATCATTTTGAGTGTTTTCTTGAGCAACAAAGTCAAAAATTCTCTGAATCGGGCTTTCTACACTTACGTACTTTGGTTTTCTGTCTTCCACAATGATGGTAAACAGAATATTTTTAGTTAAAACAAGGTTAGTGTTGGTCAGAGAATAAGTGAAACGGTCTCAGCAGAAACATTTAAAACCTTCCAGATGTTTTGAATTAACACTTCGTGTTTTCCTGTTGAGCCATTAAAAAAACTTCAGGTTTTCGCAGAACTGAGTTTTTGTTGCTCAGAAAAATAATCACGGGACAAATGTTTGACAGAAGAAAAGAGCTTGTTTGTCTAAATGTACATTTAAAACACCAGCGGCTTTTGTTTTTCCTGTTAATGTAGTTTCTGACTGTCTGTCTTCTCTCTCATCCCTTCCTCAGTGGGCTCCAGACAGACGAAGGACTCCACCTGATGGAAATTCTGGCTCGGAGGGCCAAAATCCAGATGACCGACTTCGCCGAGCTCTCGTACGTAAAAGTTTGTTTTATCTGTCGGTCACACTCCATCAGCTTGCAGCATAATGCTGTTTGTTCTCAGTGAAAGAGCCGCCTGCTCTGAAAATCACCATCCAACCTAAAGCTGGTGGGTTTTTCTCACATTTTAAACCTTTCATTTGTCAGATTGCGTCACGGAGGATCATAAAAACCACAAACTGCCACATGTACTGTGTTTGCTGTCGCTCTGAATAATCTGCTGCTATTGAGAAACGATCAAGCCGCACCTGTTCTGGTTAAAAATGCCAATAAATAACGTCTGTTTGATACGCAGCCAGCACACTGGAAGTGACAAATTTCACACATGCATTTATTTTCACAAGCATAAACCAGCATTTCCTTCTTCAAAGAAATGCCAGTCTGTGGTGCACGCCTCTCAGCGCTGCTAATGTACCGAGGTCAGCTTTAATACAGAGGTTTTCTTTCCCAGTTTGATTCCAGTAAAACTGCAAAATTCTCTTACACGCTGTGATTTTTATTTTGTAATTAGCTTGTGTTTGGAACCCGAACTGTGTCAAAATGCTCCACAAGACAAAGAAAATAAAAAAATCCTCATATTTACAATCTGAAACAGAACCTGCTTAAAGCCACATGGTGGCGCTGATGAGCATCGGGCCAAACTTAGTCCGATATCGCTGACATCGGATGGAAAAACGTGAAAGCATAAACTGTGAATTTGGCAAATTTACTTGCAAAATAATGCAGATTTTCTGCCATAATCCTGTAGCTACAGTCAAACCCCGATGCTCTTCTTTGTGCAATTAGTTTCTAACATCTATAGTACTTTAAATAAAGGCACAAAAGCTTGTCACAGTGAAAAAGCAGCTATGAGCGCATGACAATATTAATAAACTAGCTGATCATCACAGGTGCCTCAAAGATCCACTAACTGAAGAGTTCATCAGCTGACTGTGTGTGAAATGATAGATTCTGAGAGAAAAATACTCTCCTGCCTGTCAAACACTTGTCTTGGCCTTTTTTTAGCTCAGCTATTTGCTCTGATGAACCCAGTTTACATGACTGGTCCAGCAGACTCCCAGTTGGCCTCTAACTGGTGAAGAAAGTGGAACATTTAGGAAGTAAATGAACAGATGTTTTTGTCAAGTGTGAACAAATGGAGAGTGAACTTTGGCTTGTTCAGGTCAAAACAACCTCCATTTCCATCCTTGTCTCGTTTCTTGGCTCGTCTTTCAGCCCACGACACCCGAGAGGTTCTGAATTGTCTCCATGTCACTGATGGCTGCTGCGGAGTCACTGCTGGCTTTGCATGCACTTGATTTTTGGTCGATATTTAAATGAGGCATGTAAAATATAAGGGCTGCAAGGTGGCCTGGTGGGACTGTTGCCTCACAGCTAGAAGGTCGGTGGATCTTCCTGCGTGGAGTCTCCATGTTCTCCCCGTGCAGCGTGGGTTCTCTCCGGGTTCTCCGGCTTCCTCCCACACAGTCCAGAAACATGCTGAGGTTAATTGGTGATTGTAAATTGTCCGTAGGTGTGAATGTGAGTGTGCTTGGTTGTCTGTCTCTAAGTGTAGCCCTGTGATAGACTGGTTACCTGTCCAGGTGAACCTGCCTTCACCCTGAGTCAGCTGGGATAGGCTCCGCCCCCTGCGACCCCAGTGAGGATTAAGTGGTGTATAGATGATGGATGGATGTAAAATATAGAACTGCTGCTTACAGATGAGTAGTTCAAGCAAACTGTCTGAAAGTTTAGAATCAGACAATTCTTTGTGTTTTCACAGCTTCTTGCTCTGATGAATGTTGTCATTCTGGTGATTTATCAAAACATAAGATGCTATTAAGACCTGCTGGCAGGTTTTCTGGGCTTCAGAGCGTTAAAGGTGCTTCTAACCTGAAACCTAAAACCAAGTCTGGACCTTCAAGAAAGCCAGAAAAGGTCAAAACCTACTAACTCCAGAAGTGTAAATCCAAACAGGGTCTCACAGGGATGGACAGACTGATTTCCTACAGACTTCTACCTGCACCTCAACCACAACCACTGCTTGTCTGATCTTAAATATACTTTTAACTTAAACCAAGTCTTGAGCCAAACATGTCATGCTGTCTGTTGTGGACATTTGCTTTTTGTCCTTAAAAAGGGCAGAAATGCCCCCAGTCTGGCCTGTAAACAGATTTCTGTCCTCACAACGTGATCAGTACCAGAACAGACGGACACGGCCGAAGCTCCGGCTTCCTTCTGCTCAGGAGGCTAAAATAAGAGCCTTTAAATGCTTATAATGTGCTTTTAAAACTCTTTGCCCTGTAATGTAGCAGCGCCTCTGGACACGTCGCCCTCCGAGCTGTCAGACGGCCAGCTGTTGAATAAAAATGACTTTAGATTGAACATTTCAGACTTACAACCAGCTCTTTCCACAGACGAGAGCGACTGTAGGAGTAAAGGTCTGTGGATGACTCACAGCATCCATAGTGTGCTTTACGTTCCCCACAACAAGCGTTTTCTACCTGTAGGCTCGAGTGGGAGGCAATTTTCTCAAAGGGCGAGCATCACACGCCGAAACTCTTCAAATATTCCCCGCAGAAGATGAGCAGGACGGGCTCCTCACAGTTACCCCCCAGCATGGCGGATCAGAGAGGGCAAAGTGGTGGGATCAAAGCCCAGCAGCACAAGGCAGTAGAATCAGAAGGGAGAGAAAACAGTGCCCTTACAGAGATAAACCCAAGGACGTCGCCTTATTTCCATTCTGTGTTTTTTCCTGCTCTGGCGGTGGGGGGGAACGTCCACGTTATTGACATGTTGGATTCAAGCTGCAATCGTTTATTAATGAGACTGAACTGTGCCTGAACCCTCACTCTCATCCTCTCTGTGTGTCTTTCTGTGTCTCTGTCATTATCTACTTTCACTCTGTCTTTGCCTCCATCTATTTCTAAGTGTTGCTGTGGAGGGCTGTTGCCAAACTTACTGCTGAGGACTACAGTCGGTGTGTAGACAGTGTGTTCTGTATTATATGTATAATTAAAAGTGTGTGTGTTTGTGTACGGGCCTCTACGGTCACGGTCAAATAGGATTTATTAAAGTAGGGTCCTCTGATGCAGCTAAAAACACACCAGGTGAAAATGCAGAAAACTGCAGTTCCTTGAATGGCCACTAGAGTCATCAATTCAGTAATTAGACTGGTTTTAGCAGCACTTTCAAACTACAGGGAATTAAACTTATGACACAAAACATCCAAACTGTTCACTCAGTCTTTCTCCTCCAGCTGCTTTTTTTTATTTGCTATAAAACAAGCAGGGAAACAGACGAACAGTTCGTTTTGGGGTTTTTTTGGTTGTTCTTTGTACGACTTTCAAACCACCTCCCACCACACACACATTCTCCAAATACCACAGGAGATACTTGACGCTTGGTGGAACGTTTGGCCAGTCAGGCTGCTGCATGTGTGACAGCAAAACAAAAGAAAGAAAGAAAACTCCTCAGATGTTGCTTTTAGTTATTTAAGGAATTTGAACATGACGACAGATTAGCAGCAGAATCGCCCACATTAGTATTATTGTTGTATTCTACAAACCAGATGTGTTCATAGTTGTTCTGTCATGGTTTAATGACAGCCCTCATTCCCAGTGAAGGAGAACCACGTCTGTATGTTAACTCTGACCCTGTTTAGTGAGTATTTGGTTTTCAGTGGAAAATGGAGAATGAAGTATACGTCAGCCTCCGTCGCTGTTCAGTGGACACGATAGTTCCACAGCAGAGCAGCCAGGACCATGAAATACATTAAAAACTCCTTGTTTCAGGACCTGTGTGCCCCAAATGATGTCAACATCAAACAAAAACAACTCACTTTTAATGTTAAGTCTTTTTTTTTTTGCTCCTGTCACACGTTTTCTTCGCTGTGGGCTCATTTTCTCACTTCTGTATAAACCTCTATAGGAACATGATGAAAAGTAGGAAGAACTTACAAGAAGAAAAACCTTCTGTGCAGCGTGATGTCCATATAATCCCATAAAACATGAGGAAAGACAAAAAACCAAAAACCGTTACGTCTTGTTATATTATTATTTGTTTAACTTTTTTTATTTTTAAAGAATGTGGTTATAGGGTTGATTTCTGGGAAAATTTTATATAAGACACACAGAATAAAGTTTTTTTTTTTTTTCAAAAAACAACAACTTTAAGTTTGTTCTGGAACTTAAAGTGAGTTCATGAACTCTTTGAAAGTTAAAAATCTGACCATCCTTTTCGTTTTCACTGTTTCCTGCTCTGATGAAGGGATTTTTAAAAAGACAACACGGCTAAGAGGCTGATACTTAATTCATGTCATGCTCGGCGGTATTATGTGGAATTTAGACTTTTTTTTTTTGGCAATCATGAAATTGTGATTACTGTGATCTGTACAGAATCATTTTTGGATTATTTATGTGTTATCTTGTCAGCGCAGCTTATTTTTGTGGTTTTATCAAGTATTGATTTTCAGCCTTTGTCCCCTCAGAGCTGATGTCTCTGCAGCGGTTCAAAACTTTTAAAACAGTAAATACAAGCAGCAAATTGATGAAATAAATTTAAAAACAAAAAGATTTAATTTACTCATGGTGTGATTATTTTTTTTATGCAGAAAGTTCAGTTTAATTTCATTTTGTGTTGATGAAGCAGCTTCCAAAACAAAATGAATTCTGAAGTGAGACTGACGAGGAGGAAGAACTGATGTTCATATGTGTGAGAGTGTGTGTGTGTGGACAGGTGGGGATTGGGTGGGTTGTGCAATTCACACACACACACACACACACACACACACACATACCTTCACACACACACTCTGGGTCCGCCCACGTCGCTCGGCCCTGTTGTTCTGGCGGCACCTTGCCGGGCCGCTCGGCTGCTGCATTGAGTCCCTGGGTGGCCTCCACTGTTCCTCGGTTCTAATGCACCTTTTGTCTTTGTTCTCCTATTCTGGGAATGAAAGCAGCGAGCTATACACTGGGGAGAGTGATGGATTGGAGGAGAGAGAAAGCGAGAGA